TTTCTCATTTGCGTCTCCTGTTGAAATTGGTATGTATTAGTAGCTATTGATTCACCTATTTCTTCAAGAGACATACCTGACATAGATGATGATTCTTGAGACTCATACTGCTGAAAATTCATTGGCCCCGTTGTATAATTATAATTGGAGTTATCCCACCATCCTTGATCATACCCGTTTGAATAAGTGTCATACCACGTTTGAGATCGAGGTGAAGAATCTCCAAATTTTTTTGTGAGATAATCACTCAGGTAGTCTTGATATTCGGGGCACATACCGGTTGAATGATCCCTGGCATAACAAATTCCACAAGTTGCAGCAGTCATTCTTTCAATAAGAGAGTTTAGGGCCTCTGAATATGCAAACTTAGAAAAAAAACAAGCTTCATTGTCTTCCCTGGAAACAAAATCCAGTCTATCACCAAAATATGAAGTGTTAGAAGCCATAAACTATATTAAAAAATAAGAGAAAAATAAACAAAAAAAAATGAAAACAAGATGAACTCAAAAAGAAACAAATTAATCTGACACCAGTCCCCGGCAACGGCGCCAAAAATTGACAGGTGTCGAGTCTGTGCAATAATAAATACCTACTCGAGAAAAATGTAAATTTTACATATAGCGGTGAGTAGGGTCGAATCCACAGGGACTGGGGATAACTTATTTCTTTTAGAGTTCGAAGTATGGGGGGTTTTTAATGTAAGACAAATAAAAATGAAATAAAACAAACAAAATTCAAAACTAACTCACAAAGTATAATTTATTAAAAATAGCAATTAATAAAAGTTCTACCCAAAGGATCAACTGCTCAGGCACGGTCCAATTAAATGCTCATCGATGCAAAGATATTTCATCCATTTATCACTAGATTGGTTATAGTTATCAATAAGCTCTGACAACCAGCTCTTCCTTACATTTTCGACAGACAAGGTACGACCATTGACTGCTTCTCTAACCAGATAACAACCCTAGGTACGACCGTAGGAATTTAATTACCCAATTGCATTAAAGCTAGAAGAACCCAACCCTAACCAATAAACATGCTAAAAGGGTTTATTTAAGCTAGATCTTGCGCTTCCCCATCATAAAGCCAATTATGGTGGTTGCCACAGGGTGTTAACTAAATGAACAATTACGGATTCTATTTAATTAACATGACAGTAGGCTATTAAATTAAATCAAATACCCGGCCGTTGATATTCAGTTAATAAAATACCCATGAACAATTAATTCAGGAAACGCACGAATAATAATGAATTGGAAGAAATAATGAAGATTCGATTAGATCTCACAGATATTATGGACCGCGCCCTCGCGTCAACCTTTGGGTAGAGGAGAAAATTAGCCGCTCCTCATCGTGTCAATCCCGCGTGATTTAATTGAAGTCATTCAATTATTCGCCGAAAAATTGGGGAATGGGAATTAATTGCAGTAACAACAGAGAAGGCCCTGCCTTCGTCTTCGTTTTGGAGCCGCAAGTGTACGAAGCAAAAGGCTAACCGAAATTGTCCAGAGCAAGCGTAAAAGTCAAAAGGAAAATAGCCGTCTGGCCTATTCTAATTGCTACCGAAGAGAAGAAAGAAAAAAGGGAAAAAGCGTCTGACAGATCTGGGAAAAGAAAACTAAAGCTAAGGTATTGATGCTTCTGAATCTCCCTTTTTATTCTTTATATAGCCGCCGTCAGGAGCTTCTCCAACGTGACCCAATTAATTGAAAAACAAAAGCAAAGCTAGCCTTTTGGAGTTTTTATCCCATGCTTCTCGCGGTTCACGTGGACCGCAGTCCGGCTTTCGGTTTCGTCCACCTTCTAAGGCGTGGCCACGCCCTGAGACGGAAAGTCTCCTGGAAATTTACCCCGCGAGATCATTTTTCATGCCTACCACCTACAATTCACACAAATATCGAATATGAGTGAAATTCCAATTCTTAGCACCGTGAATAGCCAAAATTAGGACAAAATAACACTGCAAAATGTGCCAAATAACGGTTCTATCAATGTTGAAACTGAAAAATATGCCAAAGTTTTTTTAGGCAGAAGCAGTTTCTTAGTTTTTTTAGGCAAGAGCAATTTCTTATGCAATTTATCTGTTAAACAGGTGTCCTACAAGAAGTATTTTCAAAAAAATTCTTGAAGGAATTTGGAGTGGTAGAAGGCCATTTGTTGGTCATTTCAGAGTTTTTGGGTGTATTGCCTATTTCCATATTCCTGATCAATTAAGAAAGAAACTTGATGACAAGAGGGAGAAGTGTGTATTTTTTTGGTTATAGTGAAGTCTCTCGTACTTACATGTTGTATATTCTTGTGACAAAAAAGATGATATAATGAGTAGATATGTGACTTGTGATGAAAGAGGAGTTTGGGACTAGTCAACTGGAGATTCTAAGATAGCAGAGGTGACTCTAAATTATCAGCAAGAGGATGCTAATGATGATGTTCAGCTATCACCAGTTGATTAGGATCCATAGACTGAGTTAACTGGACGTCCACAACGTCAGCGACAGATGCCAATTCGTCTACAAGATTATGTTACTACACTAGATGATGTTCCTTTTGACGAAAATATTATTAATTTTACTTTGTTTGTAGATTGTGATCTAGTTGTGTATAAGGAGGCAACCACTGATGATCATTGGGTGAAAACAATAGAGGAAGAAATTAATACAATAGAGAAACATGACACCTGGGAACTTATTTTTCTTTTAATTGGTAAAAAAAGTCATTGGAGTGAAGTGAGGGTACAAGAAAAAAATTTAAACCCAATGGAGAAATTGATAGATGCAAGGCAATATTAGTGGTGAAAAGATACAAGTAGAAATCCGGGATTGACTATTTTGAAATATTTGCACCCGTTGCTAGGTTTGATACAGTCTATATGATAATTTCTCTAACTGGAGAATTTATCAAATGGATGTCAAGTCAACTTTCCTAAATGGAGTTCTTAATGAAGAAGTATATGTGGAGTAGCCAGCAAGATTTGTCAAAAGAGGTCTGGAAAATAAGGTATATAGATTGAAGAGAGCCTTATATCGATTGAAACAAGCCTCAAGAGCGTGGTATACAAGAATTGATTCCTATTTTCTGACTCATGATTTTCAGAGGTGTCCATATGAGCACACGTTATATATTAAATCTTATGCTCGTGGTGATATTCTTATTGTGTGCTTGTACATAGATGATTTAATTTTTATAAGAAATAATCCAGAGATGATTGCAGAATTCAGGGTGGCCATGATTAAACAGTTTGAGATGATAGATATGGGACTCATGTCATATTTTCTAGAAATTGAAATCTTTCAATCTTGATAGTGGAATTTTTATATTTCAAAAGAAATATGCAGGTGGCATTTTAAAGAAGTTCAAAACGGATACAGCAAAAATAATTATGACACCAGTTGAAGAAAAATTGAGATTGACCAAGGAGGGTGCTGGTGGATATGTGAATCCCACATATTTTAAAAGTTTGGTAGGGAGTTTGAAATATTTGACTTTTACAAGGCCAGATATCAATTTTGCTATTGGTCTGATTAGTAGATTCATAAAAAATTTACGTTAGTCACATTTGCAGGCAGTTAAGAGGATTTTGAGATATATTGGAGGTTCTTGCAGTGATAGCATTTTTTATTTAGGAAATGATCTGATTGAGTTGTTTGGCTACACAGATAGTGATTGGGGAGGTGATACAGTAGAGAGGAAGAGTACTTCAGGTTATGTATTTTTTATTGGTTTTGGAGTGTTTTTCTGCAGTTCGAAAAAACAACAGGCGATTGCATTGTCTACAATGGAAGCGGAGTTTATTGTAGCAGCTAACAGTGTTATTCAAGTTTTGTGGTTACGTCGCGTACTTGGTATTCTACAGCACAAGCAGGTTGATCCTACGAAAATTTATTGTCATAGTAAGTCAACAATTGAGTTGTTCAAGAATCCAGTACTTCATGGACGTAGCAAACATATTGACATCAAATATCACTTCATACGTGAATTAGTTCGAGAGAGAGAGATTGCAATTGATTATTGCAGAACTGAAGAACAAGTGGCTGACATTTTCACCAAAACATTGAAGACGGAGATTTTTATTAAGTTGAAGAAGTTGTTGGGCATGTCCAAATTAGAGGAGTTTGGTTTAAGGGAGGCAATGTAGAAATATAAACCAAACTATGATTGATTGGTTAGTTTTATTTATTGACCGCATGTCATTTGTTTATTAGCTAGTTTTCTTGGCAAGTCTAAAGTTGGCTACATGGGATCAAATCCCATAATGTTAGTCATAGTAGAATTAGAAGTCTTGTGTCTAGCTATTGTACAAAGTAGTAGTTGCCTTTTGTTTTTGGCCTTTGTGCATAGCCTCTGTTTTTCGTTCTTCTGTAGCCGCAGCCTTCTTGGAGTAATAGAAAAAAATTTCTTTCCTTTACCTTATCTATCAAATTCTTGAGATTGTTCCTGTTGGTTTATGTGTGATTATAAATTTGGATCCATCAAAATAGCTCAATGGAGTAAGATAAGATTTCAGAAAAGTTTGGTGATTAATCGTACACAACACCTTTTTCAAAAAACTTGGTTAAAGAAAATTAAAAATATACTATTATGTTGTTGTGAGGTTGACAATCAAAATATAAGGGCAAATTATATTTTACCCCTCTGTGGTTTAGTATTTTTTACATAATCCCTTCATAGTTTGGAGTAAAGTGTCAAACTGACGGAAATAATCATTCGTAACGGAATTTTTAAAAATGTCGAAATTATCCATATAAATACATGACACACTAACCCCCTTATAGTGTAATATTTTACCATATAACCCTCTTATGATTTTCAAAATATACACATAACCCCCACGGTTAATAAATAATTTTCAATTTTACGTAAGGGTATTTTTGACATTTTAGGTGACTCCGTTACGAATGATCATTTCCGTCACTTTGACACTTTAATCCAAATCATGAGGGGGTTATATATAGCTTTTGAAACCATAGGGATTATGTAAAAATGCTAAATCATAGGGGTAAAGTAGAATTTGCCCAAAATATAATTGCGAACTTTAGCGTTAAAAAAATGTTAACATATCGTGACAACATAATCACTAGTAATATCAAAAACACAAGTAAGGATGACGTAAAAATGCAATCCAGTCCTTCCCATGACCGCAGAATCAAATGATCATCTCCCATGGGCAATTGGCTGTATTTCTTGATTTGGGAGGCTATAATATGTCGTTGTCAACATAATATCACCGCCACCGGAGGGATTGGATTGTTCTTGATGATCAATCAGGGGCTCAATCTCTTCTTGGTTTAAAGCTTGAGAACCTTGAGTCCTAGTATGCTTTGATGTGATTCGCAACCCTACCAGTTCCATTGCTACTTCTTTCATGGAAGGCCTGTCGGCGCCTTTTACATTTAGGCATCGTTCGGCAAGCACAGCAACTTGTCTCAATTGGTCAATATTCTCATCAGACGCGACAGAATCTTCAAGAATTTGAAACAGTCGATTTTCTTTCATCGAAGAAAGGAAATGATTGCTTAAACTTATCTCACCCTCTGATCTATTGAAGCATACGGGCTTTTTCCCTGTTAGTAGCTCCACAAGAACGACTCCAAAGCTATAAACATCACTTTTCTCTGTCAACTGAAATGTTTGGAAGAATTCAGGGTCCAGATATCCTCGAGTTCCTTGCACCACTGTAGATAGTTGATCTTGATCAAGAAGGCCCACTCTTGAAGCACCGAAATCGGATACTTTTGCTGTAAATTCCTCGTCCAGAAGTATGTTCGTGGTCTTTATGTCCCTATGGATGATGGGAGGTGAAGCAGCGGAGTGCAAATATGAGAGGGCTTCTGCAGTTTCTGCACCTATTTTCAGTCGGATGTCCCAACTAATTTCACGTGCCCGCTTCTTGTTGTGTAAATGGTTAAAAAGAGTGTCATTGTTGATAAATTCATAAACGAGTAAAGGTACCTCTGTCTCGAGACAACAACCAAAGAGCTTAACTACATTTTTGTGGTTAATTTGTGACAGAATCACAACCTCATTGATGAATTGCTCAATTTGGTTGGGATCAACTGTTTTTGACTTCTTGATAGCGACTTCTTTGTTGTCTATTAGACGACCTTTGTAGACTATCCCAAAACCTCCTTGACCAATAATGTTACCTTCATGGAAGTTGTTTGTTGCCTTCTCAAGATCTCTGGCACTGAAAATTCTTGGGCTATTTGAGGATTCTTCTTGTCCGTTGAGTCGCTTTTGTAGGAGTAGCCCTCCATTTTCTCGAAAGAATTTTTCCTTCAACCACATCATCTTTCTTTTCTTGGACACGTACAAGCACCAAGAACAGACCACTAGCAGAACCATAGTGCCCACAGCAACACCTAAGACAGTGTTTTTTTTACAATATTTAGAGGAAGAAAAATCCCAGAAAAGGAAGGAACGAGAAGGAACATGTTGAACTGCGCAGGGGTAAAGCAATATCAACTTCGAAGTATAATACAAGTGATTATTATCAAGTTTATATTAGTGAAATTGTCGATTATATTTCTGATCAAGATTTAAGCAAGAGTTTGTCCCTAAGTTTATTGCTTCGGCAATAATAGAATGCTTCTCTATATGTGATGCTTTTAACTGATAGGCAATGTGAGAAAATGTATACCCTAGAATTTTTTTTTCCTTTCACTTTAATGGAGACTTCAAACCGTACAATAAGGGAGCAAAAAAAAAAAGAAAAGACTTTGAATTCGAATAAAAAAGATAACGTCACTTGATTAATGTGGCTAATCATCGAATTGGTCTTGTGCTTCATACTCTTAACTCTCTTTAGTTTACATATATGTTGACTTTGGTTTGGCTAAATTCGAGGTCAAAAGTAAACCTGATTAAGAGGTGGTCGAGCTTTGGGTTGACATTGACTCAGCTAGGTAGTTTTGGCTTTCTAACAATAATTCCTTAAGAAATGCAAAAAATTTAAAAAGTGGAGTTTGGGTTGATCGTATGCGTATGTGTGTTTATAAACAAAAGGACAAATTACATTTTACCTCCTTGTGATTTAGCGTTTTTATACATAACTCCCATATGGTTTCAAAAGCCATACATAACCCCTTTATGATTTGGATTAAAGTGTCAAAGTGACGGAAATAATCATTCGTAACGGAACTTCTAAAAATGTCGAAATTACCCTTATAAATACATGACACACTAACTCCCTTATGGTTTAATACTTTACCATATAACCCCCTTATGGTTTCAAAATATACACATAACCTCCCTTGGTTAATTAATAATTTTCAACTTTATATAAGGTTATTTTTGACATTTTAGGTGATTCCATTACAAATTATCATTCCCGTCACTTTGACACTTTAATCCAAATCATAAGGGGATTATATATAGTTTTTGAAACTATAGGGAGTTATGTAAAAAATACTAAATCACAGGGGGGCAAAGTGAAATTTATCCTAAACAAAATGCAAATTAAGCTGATCTGAGAACAGTAATTTGCTTTTTGACCAAGCTTGGTCTTTGTGCCTATCTGTATAATACTTGGGAACACTTCGGTAACACAAAAGACAAACTATTACCTGCAAGAATACCAGCCACAAGTGCTTGATGGCTTTTCTTAGTGCAACCTTCACCCCCTTTTCCATCATCTTTCTTAAGGTACCCCTTCGTGCAAGAGCAATTGTAGCCTCCTTCGACGTTTATGCAAAGTTCTCCGAATTTGCAATTATTGGTCTCTTCTTTTTGACATTCATCAATATCTGCATAATGTTACCCCAAAAAAAAAATCATGTTGGATCTATCAAGGATTTGTTCAAGTAAAAATCATTTTTCAAAAGTACACCAGACCGTGTTTGTTTGGATTGAAAGTTCTTTGGGAAAAAATTTATTTGAGACAAGGACATGTGTAGTTGTCCACTGTGTTGTAATAAACATTATTCTTCGCACAATTGTAAAGACCTGGATCTTGGCATTCATTAATAGCTATAGAATTCAATAAAAAAATAGAAAGCAGAAGCATAATTTCAAATGTGAATTGAAACACACATACATATATGGATTAATTAGATAAATGAAACAATTTTTTCCACACATACCTTGGCAACCATCAGGGAGATATGGGTTGCCTTCGTATCCTTGATCGCAAGAACAACGGTACCCCAACCCCTTAAAAGGTTCGTAACAGTGACTGTTTTTACCAGAGCATGCATAAGAGGTCGTGTTTCTTTGGGCAACTTCACATGACCCGTCCTCAATGGTCCAATCGGCCACGACGGGAAGACTTAAATCAACGCTCAAGTTGGTGAGGTTATCTGCAGAAAAATTGAAAGCCTTCTCTTCGACCACAAAAGCGTAGCTGCAAGGATTGAAATCCCACACCTTGGTGTGGTTATTAAGACTGGTCAAGTTCACAGTAATATTCCATGCCCCTGGTGGGATATCTGTCCGGCAGCAACCGATGCCAGAACAAGAGCCATCAATTACATCTTCCTTATAATAACAGGAAGGGACACATCCAGTTGCGTAGCTCCGGTGTTGACCAAAACCATAAACTATACCGTAGGCATCACAGCCAACGACAATGAATTTATTAGCTGTACTGTTGAAGGTAAAGCGTTTAGATAATCTCATCCATGGTAAAAATTTGTACGATAAATTTCCGTTTTCATTATAGCAATCAGATGCTATATACTGCATAAGGTACACCTGACCTTCCAGAGATATATCTGTGACATTGATTGTACTGTTGCGCAGAACTGGTTGAGGGACAGAGGTTGAAGAGTTGATGCAGTTGATAAAGAATTTTTTGTTAAGGTAACAACCTTCTGTAATACCGAATGGAAATGGAATGCTTACATTTCCACAATGATCTTGGCAGCCAGGCCTTGCTATAGAAAATGTTGGGGATGTCAAAGTTGAAGCGGAAGAGAGCATCAAGGCAATTACCAAATGCATGAGCATCGGTAAAATCAAACGATTGAAGCCCATTGGAATTGTTTTTCAAAGAAGCAAGTTTCCTTATACGGAAGAGAGTTGCAATTGTTAATTGTGCACTTCTAAGGACTTTAAACTTACGATAGGGAAGACTTAGTTAGTAAACCCACGGAAGGCCTACGCATTTTACGATTGAAGCTTCTTCTGTAGACCCCAAATAGGGACGTTTTATAGGCATTCCAAGTAAAGGGAAGACTTAGCCAGTAAACGCACAAAAGGCCTACGCATTTTACCATTGAAACTTCTTCTGTAGACCCCAAATAGGACGGTTAACTTCAAATGAATGCAGTCAAGATATAAAGGAGCATTTGTTCACACTAGTCTCTGACGACCATGGGATCCACGTCTTTACGGGGTTGCTTATGCTAACGACATAAAGACTCTGTAAGGGAAGACTTTCAAGTCCACCCTACTGTTTCCATTTATTTACGTGAAAAACAATAAGGGAACCGATAAATTTTTTCCACTTGATATGAGAAAAAAAATCATAAATGTGTTTTTGGATTTAATGTATGTCATGAAAGTAATTACGATATATGCTTCGGCCGATGAGGTTTTAGTCTGCTTAGAGTGTATTTGATAAAATTGAAATTTGAAAACTGAAATATAAAATTTGAAATCTGAAGGCGAAATTCATTAAATTATTAAATTGTTAAATACCATATTTAATGCATTTGAGTGTATATCATATTAACTGATATGTGGTTAGTTTATTAATTATTTTTTAGAGTAAATTTTGTCTAGAATATTCGGTGCCACTCAATTAATTCAAAAGTTTTAATTTTTGTTATCAAATGCATTTGAATATGTTAAAATCTGAACTTATTTAATTTAAATGTTGAATCTAGTTATCAAACGGAGGCCTAGGATTGAGATTCCAAGATTTAGAGGGCTTGGGTTCAAATATCTCCTCCCTACACCCGCTTCTTAAATTTCATTCTTTTTTACTAGAAAAAAGTTTTAAAAAATAAAAAAATATATGCTTAGAATGGGAGGATTAAAGAGTATTTACAATTGACTGAAAATGTCGACTCAAGATAACAATCTTCTGTCATGCCAAATGGGCATGGGATCTTTACTTTTCCAGAGGTATCAATGCAGCCATCCTTGGCTATAGGAGGGTATGTTGCTGCTGGTGTGATAGCTGGCTTTAAGGACACCGTCAACACGAAAAGTATCATTTGAACAAGCTTCATCACTCGGGAAACTTTGGACTGTGATGGCTATTTAATTGTGGAATCAAGAAGAGATCAGATGATTGACTTTTCCCTCTATCACCTCTCTAGATAATAGAAAAATCGCCAGTAGAAAACTTGGTTTTTTTGTCCCATTAGTTTCCCAGCATGTACCCTACTACCACCACTATCAAACAAATGAACGAAGAATTGCAATTATAGTAGATGAACAAAATAACCTTAAGATTTACCACGTCTTGGCTGTTGCAATCGTGAATGAACTTATGTTCCTTGGCTGCTCGTGCATTGGCTGATCGGGTCTAGGAACATAGGATGACTTGTTCTGTCGATCCCAAGTATTACCATAAGTCTAGTCAGTCTCTTTCAGGGACTTCTACCAACTTTTCTGTTTTGAAGATGAATAAATCCCCAGAGAAATTAGTTAAACTACACAGTTGAAACCAATGAAAGAACGTAACTCATATATCCAGAACTCATTTTCACTCTCTATTCCAACTCCACTCCCCCTTAAGCAAAAAAATCCCCACAGGTTTTTGTATATAATTTCACAAGTTTCTTTATTTTATTTCTATTTTTGTGGTTAATTAATTAGTCATGTGTCATCACATAAGTTAATATTCTTATTGTCTAAAGTCAGGTGCTTTTTTATTCTCTTTTTTTAATTCAGTCTAGTGAACATGTGACTGCAAATAACATGATTTCGTTAGTAATTAGGGAAAATCCGTCAATTACACTAAATTTGCTTCAATTGGAAATATTGGGAACCATATTTATTTTTGCTGAAAGTTAGGAACCAAAATTACACTGGTGCCAAACATTGGAGAGGACTAAATTCACACAAGTGCGAAACACTAGGGACTAAAACTTTATTTTTTTCCTTTTCCTATCAGTATGAAATAACCCTAAGTTGGTTCACCACATCTTAATTAGTTGATGCAATCGTGAATAAACTAGTGTTCTTGGACATTCTAGTCTCATAAAGACTGCTAACCTTGTGCATAAATGTTGCCTGCACATGCATTAGCTGAGGGCATGTGAAGCACTCTAAATACTTAGGATGGTTGACATGCAATTGAACACAGTTGTCAAGATTTCAATTGGATTTTAGTTATCTCTATGGGCATTATTGAGAATAATTAGATAGACTGTAGAAAGAATGAAAGGAAGAGATAGAAGCAAGAAGCAAGAAGCAAGAATAATAGGGAATGAAGAAAGGAAGAAGAAGATGAAAGAAAGAAACAGAGATGGAAGAATATTCAATGCAAAAGGATTGGGGCTTTCATTCACTCCGTTGCTGATTACAACTTCCTCATGCAATGGCTATTTATAGGCTAGTATACTCTCTTCCATTAGTAGGATCTAACTAACTGCTATAACAAGAAACCTAACCAATTGATACAACTGAAATTGAACTATTGGCTAATACATGATTGCTACTGTATCCTTTGATGAAAATTGATTCTTTTTGCTAACACAAGAAATGAAGAACTGTTTGTTGGTCTATGATTTCGAGCATGATTTGCGTATGGTGTTTACTGTAGAAGTTGTCACAGTAGCCTCGGACGTCTTCAAGGGGTTGCTCACGCTACGAGTCTATGACATAATGAAGCTGTCAGGGAAAGACTTCCAAGTCCGCCCTAGTCTTCCCATTTATTCATTTTTTTTAAAAAAAATGATTAATCATACTTCATACATAATTTTCACTTGATATGTGTAAAAATTCACAAATGTGTTTTTGGATACAACGTATGTCTTGAAAGTCATTAAGATATATGTTTGTAATGCACATCTTCGAATATTTAATCTGTGGAATCCAATATTTTAGTAATTGTGTGTTAGTGTATTTCTCTCTAAAATTCATTCTCTCTTTCTTCTCTTTAAGGCTCCTCTAACCAAAATGGCCTTCAGATCTAATCTTTCTCCATAGGAGGGAACCGTTTTTTATACCTTTTATTTGCTTTTTTAAAATAAATTCCCTCTAGCGAGGAATTTTCTTTGCTAGCATTTCTTGGTAAGTATTTCTTCTCTCCTAGTTTTTTCTAGTGAAAATTTTATTCTATCCTAGGATTTCCCTTGTAAGAAATTTTTTCCTTTTTTTCTCTTTTTTCTATGAGATTTGAGATTTCATATGGTTTGCTAGATTTGAAAATTTTAACATCTACTATGTTAGCTGAATTTCTCCTTGGGCTTCAATCATTTTTTAACAAATGTTATTTTTAAAAACATGCACAAATCTTTTGAGTTATAGTGATTCACCTGGATGCAGGGAAGATGTTTTGGAGATTTAATGTTTTTCATATTCATTAATATCTATTTGCTCAATAGATAGATTGAGATTTCATATTATTTACTAGTTTTGGAATTTCTCCCATCTCCTATGAAAGCTAAATTTCTCTTTGAGTTTTAAGCACTTTTATCAGATGATTGTTAGAAAATATGCACAAATCTATTGGACTGCAATGATTTATCCAGATGGAGGATGTTTTGGAGCTTCTACTTTAAAAAGGATGCTAAGGACTAATGGCATTTGCCATTCTGTTACCAAGCTTTTTAGGTATATGACAAAAACCTTCTTGAATTACCAAACTATCTTTAGAAAGAAAAAAAAATACAAAATTAATGATATACTTCATTGAAACTCAATCATTTCATGAAATCCTAATCACCACTTTTTTTCGATTCCACAGTATTCATCTTTTCAGTCATAACCAAACCCTAGATCCTGAGCACTTCTATGGCAAAGAAAAAATGAAGGAAGACAAGTGCACAATTTGATAGGTTGACTAAAGATCAGAAGTGTTCAAAATATTCACCAAAACAAAACGCTTATGACATTGTCTCTACGTTCATTATTCTATTTAGAATTTCAAGCAGCAAATTTCCCAATAGTAGTTTAATTTTTTTGAACGACAACTTCATCATTTTGTTGCATCTAGTATCGATAGTAAAAGAGTGGGATTAGCAATAATGGAAATCAGCCAAAGGCTTTGAGATGATAGCTTCTTAATTCTCTTCTAGTACATAAATATTATGATATGATTTTATTGTTTGTTCAATAAATCAATAGGATTTATATCAGGAAAATTAACTTTTATTAGTAGTGATAAAAGTCAAAAAATATGAATTTTTCATGCAATAATTGAAAATGTCAGCACAAAATTCCATCTACAGCTGTTAACTCCATTAAGAACTGTTACATGCTATGTACATGATAATTTTCTGGAACAATTATAGTGAAGATACAACATAGAATTGTATGTGCCTGTCAACCACAGCTGCTGGAGAGTTTTTGTGTGTGACTCTGGCCAATAGCAAGCAAAGAGGGTGAAGAATACTTGTCTACATCTTCTATGAGCACTTCACCGACAAAAACATAGAGTCACCAAAAACTTAAACCATTGAACCTATAAAAAGAGCCAGCACAAATGAGAAAATAGAATACATTAGAGATTTTAGCCCATGGAACACTTTCAAAAGTCTATATACATTTTACTGTATATCTTATCAAATATCTTCCCTTCAATGGATGATTAACTTCCACAAATATAGAGTAGCCTCTTACTTGAAAGGTTCTATTTAACGAGTGCTCAATGGGCATTCATTAAAATATATTTCATGTGTTAGATTTTCAAAAAATTAAGATTAATTAGAGACAGTGTATATATGCAAGAAAAGGTGGTAATTGTTAGAGCGTGTCTATACATGGTAAATTAGGTGAAATGTAAGCATGTTGATGAGTGTCAATTGAGCACCCTTTAGAAAAGCTCTACTTGAACAAGTTAAGCAAAAAAGGAAAAAATCATATAAGGCCATTTCTCAATGCACAAGAGAATAAGACTTTATCTCGAAAACATTATTAGGGCCTGCAAAAAATTGTAA